TTTCCCTGAGTTTGGCCATAGGGAGGTGCCTGGAGGACTTTTCAGAGCAGTCCAATGGTCTTCAGTGTTTATTGTTAGGTGTCGTCACTGCACACTTCATGTGTGTTAGAAGTGTAAGCTGTTCTCTCTGATAGAGGAGCAGTGAATGTGTATTTAAAAACATTTAAAAACAATTAATTGATTATTAATAAAAATCAATTGAACATTGATTATTATGAATTCAAATAGTTTTGATTCTAGAAAGGACTACGAAGGTCTTAGAAAATTAAACTCTTCCTTTACAGGATAGAAAGTATCATCTAGGAAGAAAGCTAGAAAGGAAAGCTTTAAGAAAAAGCATAAAAGCTGTGTTAAGGAGGAGAACTTAAGCTAATAGAGCACGAGAAAGAGAAACATTTTGATTTCAAAATCCTTAGAGATAGTGATTGAGGTAGTGATTTCCCATAGGTAGAATGTTGGCTCCTAAAGATGCCTGCATCCTAATCCCCAGAACCTGTGCAGATGTCCTCTTACGTGGCCAAAGGTACTTTGTAGGCGTGATTAAGGCTACAGACCTGAAGGTGGGGAGATGATGAGTCCTTCACTGCAGTGGGCCTTTTATTACTGTGGTCAGTGGGAGGTGAATATGAAAGAAGGATCAGATGCAACATTGATGGACGGAGAAGACCATGAGCCAAGGAGTGCAGGTGCCCTGTAGAAGCTGGAAAAGGCAAGCTAAGAGCCTCCAGAAAACAGCACGTCCCTGCTGACAGCCTTATTTTAGGCCAGTGAGACCCATTTCATGCTTGTGATTTACAAAACTAAAAGGTAATGCACTTGTTGTGTTTTAAGCCCCCAAATTTGTGGTGATTTATTACGGAGGTAATAGGGAACTAATACAGTGACCGTGGACCATCAAGATAAAAAAGTGCATTCTTTGTCTTAGAAGACTTTTAGAAGGACTCCTAGTTTACTACTGGACCAAGAGGAGGAAATGTACTAGGTGTTGGAGAACAGGATTTGAATTTCTGGATCTTGTTTTTTGATAACCCAGTGATGAAAGCCTCCACGAAGAATGATAGGAATCCCTTGGTTTTCTAAAGCTGAAGAGTATCTGAAAGAGAAACACAATGAGAAAAAGAAACACTATACTATAGAAGAATCAGTAATGATGATTATATTTGGTAATTCTTAGGACGCAGTAAGGAGATGAACAGTGTCATCAATGTGTGTTGCTTCAAATATCTCTTCTAGTAATAAATCTGAAAGTTAAGTGTGAGGCTATAGCTAAAAATATAAAATATCCCTTTTTGTCCTCTTTTCCCCACAAACCACTTAATATTCATTTGCACATATTCATTGTCATGTCTTTGTCCTGTGAGACTCTAAGACATCTGAGGGTCAGGATTGCGTCTTAACCGTTATTGTGTCACTAGCATCATGCATGTAGTGGGCACTTCAGATGTTCATGAATAAATGAATGAACGTTCATGAAAGAATGAACATGGAGGAAAGAGTCACGTGACCTATTTCGAACAGTGGTGAAGGTCATTTGTTTGAAAGTACTATCTCAAAGGTAAGTGGCTAAATGGAACCAAGCAAAATAATAAAAACTTTGAGAAATGAACAAAACTATGGCCTCATCTCACTAGTGAGTAATCAGGGAAATTAAACCATCATAATAACAGTCAAATACCTGTGGGAGTTTTTTTGGTCATCAAATTGATCATCCTAAGATTAATTTTACTCATTATTAATGTGAAATAAATGATACTTTGTAACATTATGCATCAAGTATAATTGGTATAGTTTTGTTGATGGGCAGGAAGTTTGGTTGTACTTATCAAAATGTTTCAGTTAAAGGAAATTTTGCCTGTTTCTATGCAGTGGTCATAAATACCTTTGATGACAGCTAGAAGAATGTTCCTAGCAGTATTTTCATTTACACCTTCCTTTCTCCCTCAGAACAAGGAAATCTTTATTCATCAGTAGTAAAATGACCTTGCACATTTATGTTATGTTCCTGGTAAGATACAGGCATGATGTAAACACTGGCTTCTTTTATTTTAACCTTAAAAAGAACCCTTTAACCATGAATGTCTATATGAGAATTTAATCAGAAAAGTTGTGTATTTCTGACACTTGGGATATGAGAGACAGGTTTCAGAGTAGCCAGCTGTTGTTTTGTATTTCATAGGACCATATAGATGTGTCTTCAAAGCCACAATGAGAAATTTAAATTTAATTCTGGTACCTTTAGTGGCATTTTAAACACCCATGTCCTATTATCTTTTTAGAGACAGTCATTTTTATTCTAAATGTATGCATGTGTGATATGAAAATGGGGCACTTCCATATGGCAGCACTGTGGAGTTGGTTGAGTATACATTCCTCACTAAATACATAGTTTTCAGAATTATTTGTTGAGTTATCCAGACCAGATATTTAGTTCTCAAAATTCCTTAAGTTACTGAGTATATACATTTAGCACCACATATTTAAGCACTTTGTATATTTGTAATGTTTGCCGTTACCCAGATAAATTTATAAGCGTGCTAGAGAATGAGCAGTAGTACAGAGTGCAATATGGATGCATAATGAGAAAGCAAAAAATGAAACAGAAGGTAATATCTGTGTGTTTATTGCTTTTCACTATTCCATGGAGAGTGAAAATTGAAAGCTGGTTTACTCATGAGGTACTACTGTATGCAGAGGCAGTGTTACTCAAATCCACACTTGAAGTCACTCTCAGTCTCTTCAGGCAGCATGATCAAGTGAATGGAATAAGATTCTCTCTGTTCCATAAAACTCCAAGACAGAAACCTGCCTTTCCCTAACAAATACCACGGTTCTGGGCTAAGCCTCTTTGAGACTGGTTTGCCGCAGGTCTCCTATATGTGTGCTGTGAGTTCAGAGGCGATGAAGTGACTTTTTCATGGGGTCACTACAGAAGGCAACCAGAGAAGCTGGGCTTTTTCTTAGGATGTGAATGGTGACAATTATAAGAAATGATTTGTGTTCCTCACTGCCTTATATTCAACATCAGGTTATGGAATGATAGACCAAGTGACCTGAGGCAGATGTCTAGCGACCAGTGTAGACATTGATCGCAGCTCTAACAAGAGAGAGCCGCCTCTTGAATTGGTGGTAGTAGTGAGTTGTGGAGCAAGGAGACTTACTGACCTGTGCTTTACCAAGGGTAATGTTGGTGTGTACTAGGTGTTGACCTGGCAGAGCTGGACAGGGAACCAGGAGCTTTTGTGGGAATTTCGCAGAGGTGCTAGCTTTTATCCTTTATAGTTCAGGGATTTGTGTGTTGGCAAGAAGCTGCAGAAGTCACTTCTGAGAGAATTGTTAAAAGGTGCTCCTTTCTCTAGGCAAGTTCCCCACCCCAGAGCACAAGGTTTAAAGACTAGAATATGGACTCTTCGCCCTCAGCTGGACATCCTTGTGTAGGTAGGGTACTATCATTTACAGTGGCCCTGTCATGAATTCTGGGCCTTGGATCAAAAAGCCAGGAAGAACATTTTATGCTTCTGTCAGTTCCACATAGGAGTATGTAGGCTGTAAACATCCTTCCTGTCCTGATGAGAATTCATCATCTTTATGAACCTGTCTTTGACTCTTCCAGCCTGGTCTGTTGTTCATGCTTTCTCTCTTGATACCATGTTTACTCCCTTCCTTTGTCCCTCTCTCTGCCACTTCCTGTGCTTGATAAACAACTTTGTACCTGGGATTGAGTTGTCTGAAAGAGAGATTGACTCTACCACTTCATTCACTCAGTGCCCTGGGAGGTCTGCCACATACCAGGTGCCAGTATCGGGAGCCCAGCACAGCAGCACACGTCCCCAGTGTGCATATACTGGGTTTTGGACAGTTTTCGTATATGGTACATGTTACGATTTGTCTTAGATTATGGAGAAGACTGGGGATAATATCCTTTATCATGATCAGCAGCATTGTGCTGTAATAAATCAATACTTGGTGAGTGCAGGAACTTTTATGTATGTCTTACATTACAAGTTTTATTATAACTTCAATAAATTACTAATTCTAAAAACTAGTGATTATTTTCTTTCATGAACATTTTCATTTTAATATCAGCATCATTTAAAAAAAACTTGTCTTATCACCTAAAAGATTGAGGTCACAGTTGGTTGTGATTTGCATACCCTCATGTAAAGGGCAGCAGATGGTTCTATCATGTTCCCAAATGAGTCTTCTATACATGCTGCCCACTTAACAACATATTCTCCCATGGCCCTCATACCTAGGTAGGTACAGGGCAAAAGTCAGTTCTAACACTTAACCTGTCCATTGCTTCAGGAGAAATTTCACCATCTCTAAGGAACATTCCCTGATGACCTCATTCAAAGGTCACCTTCTCTGAACTCAAGGGAACACATGTTAGAAGCATTAGATTTGGGAGTATTTTAGATTGTTTCATAATAATTTTTAAAGAGCAAGTAATAAACTGATTAGGCCCGAATTCAAAGAACTTTTCATGTATCTCCAGTGTCACCAGAAACATAGCCTTAGGTGTGTGTTCCTGAATGTATGTTTTTTTAAAAAATGGTTATGAATGTTGCAGCCTGGTCTTGAACAGTATAATCTCCCTGTTCTAGAAAGTATAACCCCTTCCTTGGGTCTGGACCTTAGAAAGTAGTAACTGAAAGATAACTGGTGTGCTTTGACAGGTTTGGGGGTTATACTTTGGCAGGTTTGGGGGATGATGATAGTGGAATTGCAGAAATGTATTTTTAAGTTTACATGCCTTGTTAATAAAGAAAGGAGATAATCTCTTTATGTTTTCTTTTCTAAAACTTCTCCTTGTTCTTGAAATTACTATTTCAGAAATAAAGATTCCTAAGTCATTTATTTAACTTGATATTCTCATACCAAAGATTTCTGATAATTGACTAAAAGAAATGAATATTGCATTACTTTTTAGCATATAGTTTTTTGGTTTTTTTTTTTTTTTTTCAGTTTATAACAGTCATTCTTGGGGGGGTATGTTTTAGGGCATCATTCAGAAGATAGTGGACAGTCACAAAGTAAAGCATGTGGCCTGCTATGGATTCCGCCTCAGTCACCTGCGGTCAGAGGAGGTTCACTGGCTTCACGTGGATATGGGCGTCTCCAGTGTGAGGGAGAAGTATGAGCTTGCCCACCCACCAGAGGAGTGGAAGTAAGATTCAAACCTGCTTTGGTGTGATGCACACTTGATTTCTTTTGCTTTTTAAAAACATGCACAAGATAACAAATGTATATGTTTAATTTCCACACTGCTTGTCATTACATCTCTGGTATAAATAAAATTGGTTAGTAATTATTAACCAGTGATCTCTTCTAGACCTCTAGTCTAGCTTTTGGATATTATTAACTATACTTTGAGCCATCTGATTTCAGGCTTCTGTGATGGTCTTTTGCTAGCTGATTTCTCACAGTGCTACTTTGTTTCAATCTTTGCTCCCAGTAAAACTCAAATCCTATATATATATATATATATGTATTTATGTTTTCATCCCTTGTCATCCTTTTATGGAGCAGGAGTTGCTGTCACACCTAAATACCTTATTAATGGGCTACGTAGCTTGTTTTACTATGCCGTGTAATCTAGAGCGCACCTACAAAGAGTAAGTGTATATTTGATATTCACATGCAATGTTAAAATTAGGAAGTAATGTCTTAGTGACTCCTGTTGAAATGTTAAGGAAAATAAAATTATTTCAGGGCAAATTAAAAGAATTCCCTATAATTGTTCTTTTTCTGGTTCTCCCTAATAATTTTTTTTTTTTTTTTTTAACTATTAAGCAACTCAAGATGTTAGTAGGAAATTGTACATCTAAAATACATTTGAGGGAGGTGTAACTTGTAAAAATGGGCTTCTTTTACTAGGGTTCTAATTTTTATAGGTAATGCTACAGAAATAAAGACAATCATAGATTGAAGAGTGCATTCAAAGGGTCAGTAACTTTGAAGGATCTAGATTAATTAGGGTAGACATTTTAAAAGAAAAACATGTTTAGGTGAATAATTTTTGTTCTTTTTTGCGACAGAGTCTCGCCCTGTCACCCAGTCTGCAGTACGGTGACATGAACATGACTCACTGCAGCCTCTTGGGCTCAAGCAATTCTCCCACTTCAGCTTCTTAGGTAGCTGGGACTGTAGGCACACACCACCACGCCCAGCTAATTTTTGTATTTTTTGTAGAGATGGGGTTTCAGCATGTTGCCCAGACAGGTCTCAAACTCCTGGGCTCAAACAGTCTGCCCACCTTGGCCTCCCGAAGTGTTGGGATTACAGGTGTGAGCCACCATGCCCAGCCTGAATAAATCTTACGTTGAATAAAACCCTACCCCAGTTACAGAGTTCATCAAAGAAATATAGTTGTATTTTCAAATTTGTCAGGTAGCTGGTACCGAGTTAACAAAATACTCCTTGAGAATATAGTTTGGTTGGTTCACATTAATGGCTAGAGAAGATTTGACCTCCAGCTATTTAGTTTAAGCAAGTAAGCATTCCAAAACAAAGGATATGTAAAAGTTAGATAAAAATACCTGCAGGGTTTTTGTTTTGTTTTTTGAGATGGGCATCTTGGTGTGTTGCTTGGGCTGGTCTTGAACTCCTTTACTCAGGTGATCCTCCTGTGTCAAGGTACTTATTTAACACAATTATATTATCTTGGTTTATATGGACATGTCAGATGCCGACTTTGTCATAATGAAGTCCTTAGCGCTCAATAAAATGGCCATTGAATCTAATCTCTTAGTAGATTGTTGTTGTTCTTTTAAGCCAATTTATTTACTTTGTTTCAAGTAAAATTGAATAGGCACTGCTTTACTGACTGGGTCTTGAATCCTCAAAAGGAAGAAAAATTTAGATGGGGTTATATAGAAGTTCTCATAGATTGACTCTACTAGATTAAAGGGTGATCAAGATACCACTCCTCATAATAATACTAATGATAATGATGACATTGATGCCTTGTCATCATGAGTGGCTGAGCCAGGGACTCTGCCATCTGTCTGCTTCTTACACTGGAAAACTTAAATATACATTTCATTTTACTGTTCCCAAACCCTATGAGTTAGAGACTATCGTTGTTCTTATTTTACACATGAAAACAAAATTGATTAACTTTTAGTTACGTAGTTTGTGACACAGCTTTTGATTTGAATTTAGCTGTCTGGATTCATAGTACAGGTTTTTAAAATTAGATTGGCTATCTCAATATAGGAATAATGTTGTCTTAAACACTCTGAAAATGTAGCTAGGCTTTTAAGATTAGTGAAAGTTGGCCGGGCATGGTGGCTCACATCTGCAATCCCAGCACTTTGAAAGGCCGAGGCAGGCAAATCACTTGAGTTCAGGAGTTCGAGACCAGCCTGGCCAACATGGGTGAAACCCTGTCTCTACTAAAAATACACAGATTAGCCGGGGATGGTGACGGGTACCTGTAATCCCAGCTACATTGGAGGCTGAGGCAGGAGAATCACTTGAACCTGGGAGGTGGAGGTTGCAGTGAGCTGAGATCATGCCATTGTACTCCAGTCTGGGTGACAGAGTAAAACTCTGTCTCAAAAAAAAAAAAAAAAAAAAAAAAATATATATATATATATATATATATATTAGTGAAAGTTACATGCATAGTAGGTAGAGATGATGACAGAAGAAAATGTGACAGACAAACTGATGAGGTATTTTCAAGAGTTATGAGGGTTAATACTGATGGTTCTGTATATTTAAAAGGGGAGGAATTTAAGTATCAGTAAGGAGCAGGAGACTATCAAAAATAACCAAGAGAATTTGGATAGTCCAAATAGAAGTTCTAGAAATCATAGGATAGATAAAATAGCAGATTAGACATAGCTGAAAAATTAGTAAACAAGACAAAAAATTTCCCAGAACATACCACAGAGATGAAAAGATGGAAAATGTGAATGTAAGTTGATGTAACAAAGAATGAGAAGGTCAACCCATTTCTAATAGAAACTCAAGAGGAATAAAAAAGAATGGGGAAGAGAGGAGATAATCCTAAGAGATAATGGTTGAGAATATTTTATAATCAATGAATGACATGAGCCTTCAAATACAGGATTAACATAAAATCCCAAACAGAGTCAATAAAACTAAACTGATGCTTTGGCAGATTGTATTAATAGTAAAATATTGTTGTGCCAGAGAACACAACAGGATGACACCCAGAGAAAAATTCAGACTTTTCAACAACAATAATAGATGCCAAGAAAATAGTGGGATAATATGTTCAAAGTGGTGAGGAAAGTAGCTGGCAACCTGTATTTGTTTGCCCAGTTAAATTGCCATTCAAGAACAGGGTGAGATAGAGACATTTTCCTTAGAGGATTTACCACCAAAGGAACCTCTGACAAAAACACCTTAGGAAAAACGAAACTGATCTCTGAAGGGGAGGGTCTCGGATGCGAGATGGGAAAAATTGGGTAGATCTAAATATGCATTGGCTCCATGAAACAAAATAGTAACTGAATTTGAAGAACTCACACATAAAATATAAGCAGAAAGGGAACAAAGTATATCAGACAAATAGTAACCAGGGGGAAAAGGATTATACCCTGTTAATATCATGTGAAAAAAATTGTAAACATCTTTTAAAGCATCATTAGGCATATAGATGGCAATTACAGTACAAGCTATTATCACCAAAAATTTAATAAATATTCCTCACTTAGCTTCCTGAATACCACACTGCTTTGGTTTTCCTTCATTGACCATTCATAGTCTTTCTGAACTGTTTAGCTTTTAAATGTTGGGGTGCTCCAGTAACCTCTTTTCTTCTCTTTTATTCTCCCTACACCTGCCTTGGGCATTATATCATACATTTGATTGGATGGAGGCAGGGAAACTGATAAATTAGTGCAATAACTCAGGCAAAAATCCTAAAAGATGGTGCAGTAGGGGAATAATAATAGAAGTGGTGAGAAACAGTTGTACAGGGTTGTGTTTTTAAGGTGGGAGCTGATGGGATTTGCTGATGTATTTTTTAGAATGTAAGCCATCCAATTCTATTTGTAAATCATTTGGGCTCAGAAACTTCCAGTAGTTTCTCATCACACTCAGAGCACACTCTGGAGTTTCTGATGACCTCACAGTCCTTATCTCCTTCTGCTCTTCCTCTTCCTCCTCCACTCTGGTGACATTGGTCCCTTTTATTTCAGTTTTCCTTTCATTAAATTCTTTAATATATTTTAGAGTTCTTTCCATAAATACTCAAGTTGGGATCTGATGTGATGGTTTCTTCTCTATTGCCAGGCTTTTTAGTTGTTGAATAATATAGCCCTTCATCTTAATTAATGCTTTCTTTGTCTCACCTCCCTTTTTTCCTTTATCTTTTACAACTTTTCACGTATTTAGCTCTAGCCCCCTGGCTTTCTTATTGGGGCCTTTGAACTTGATGTGACTCTGCTGAGTATGTTCTGCCTTTTCCAGGCATGGCTTGGACCTCCTCATTCCAGGAATGTGCTTGAATGTCACTGCTTCCCTATGGTCTCCTACTGGCTACCTAAAGAGCCCACTGCCTACCTGAAGCTCCTTGTGATTTTTCATCAGCTCATATAGTGTGTTAATTTTTTACAGACTTCTGAAGACTGATATTATATATGTGTTGTCTGTCTGTCTTTCTCAGGGACTTTGTTTTCTTCACTCCTCTATTCCTGGTTCTAGTCATGTCTGGTATACTATAGGCACCCAATAAACAATATTTGAATAAAAACTGAATAAATAATATATTGATAATGCATGTGTAAAAGAAGCCCAGACGCAAAGTAATGTGATGGTATAGAAACTTGTTTTCAACTAGGAACCAAACAATATTAGCTTAAGTTAATAACAGTATTACCATATTAACACATGTTGTTTACTGTGTGTCAGACATTTGATGTAGTTCATCAAAATTAATTTCTGTTATGATAGTCTTATGTAGGTACTCTCTTTTTGCCATTTTACTTGTGAGAAAGCCTTAGTTTGGAAATGCTTAATAACTTTTCCTGGAGATATATGGCTTAAATGGGTAGTATAGTGGAAATTGAATCCAAACACTTAGCTGTTTCTTCTCTACTCCTGTATTAGATATGTAAGTACAAGAAGCTGAACATGACAAATTTTTTTTCTGTCACCTGCAGACATCTAAGTTCATAGGTGGGTATGTGA